GATGCTTGCCGGCCTTTGGAACCAGGAACAGGTATCGCGCTGCCGCAGTTGATCCACAAATGTCGGGGCTCGTATATATTCATCATCTGCCATAGCTTTTTGGTGTTGAGAGTGTTGAGTGAAACTACTCGGCCCTGACATCTGTGAACTGCGTTGCCCACATTGCCATCTGTCAAAGTGACCTCCAAAACATCAAGCCGAGGAGGTTTGTGTTGCGTCCACTCATGAAATTCGGTGTCCTGATTGAGTTTGTCAAGCTGCTCTTCAATCTGGAAGGCACATACGTCACGCGTCACGCGTCAATCTGCTTGCTTAATTTTTGAAGACGCAACACTTGATCACATGGTGGCGGGGGCTCAGCTCTCACTTGGAGTTCTCGAGAGTCTGCTCGACTCTCTTCGCGGGGGCGCCTGACGAGTCATCAACTCGAGCTGCTTGTCCGCCGTCAGCTCCTCCTTCATTGCCCCGCTGGTTGGCTCGTTGCTGGCCCTCTTGCTAGAGGATGACGCCCTCGAGCTTTCCGCTGGGCGCCGCTCGATGGGACCTCCCTGGTCCGTCTTCGGCTTGATCTCCTTTAGCTTCTCCTACGCGATGTCGTCGCCCTTCTCCTTCTTGTCGGCCGTCGTCATTTTCTCTGCTCGGGCCATGGCTCGAAGTATGGCGACGCTGTAGTTCTTGAGCGACTTTGCCTATGGACTTGTCAAGGACGTTTTCCGCGCCGTGACGGCTGCGTAGATCGCCGTGCTTCTTGCCCTTGTGCTTTCCTGCCGGGAGGGCGAGGGCGATCTTGTTCCACTGGCGCAGGGTCTCGATCCCGGTCGGTCGGGGGAATTCCGCGTCGATGAACTCCTCGAGGTGGATCGGTTCCTCGCTGAGGTCCTTGAAGAGCTGCGCGTCCACATCGAGACTCGGCGTCTGGGCCTGCAACTTCTGAGCATTCTTTCGACTCAAAATCCGGCGTGGTAAGCGAAGGCTGTCGGAGGGATGTCTCGGGCAAAGGTCGTTGGTTGCTGAGCTGCTGGCGGCTGCCCGGTTTTGGCGTTTGGTGCTGCTGGGGTCTGCCTCTGCTGTCAGTGGTCACGTTTGCTTGCAAGCAGTCTGCTGTTGACCCGCAAAGCAAATCTGATAGATCTACTACCGACAACCACTTTGAGTGTTTCCTTAGAGGGACCCATTTATCCGGAAGTTGAATATACCCCTTACGCACATGGATTATCGCATCTAGCTCGTGTCGCAACCTATTGGACATCAACAAAGGCATGTCCCCCGGAATTACTTCAACTCGAACCCAATGTCGGAAGGAGCAGAGCATGTTTTGACTTCAAGGTGCCACTGTTGCCGAATTTAAAGACTACATCGGAGCCAAATTTGCGAACGCCAGCTCGACAAACAGCATCAAGCTCGTGTAGGATATCCTGAACCCTTTTGCTCCCCACTACGGTTCGACTAGCCCAGGTATCAAGAAACCCTTCAGCCTCAGTAGTGGTAATAAGGACATGTTCTTCATCGCTGTCGGGCTTGCTGCTGTGCAAAGTTCGCGGCGTAGTGGCTCTGCTCAAAACCGACCGCTCAGATCCCGTCCTGGTGGCGATCTCGGTCATCGCCCAGTCTTCCTAGCGCGCATTATAACAACTTGCGTGCGCAACCTCTTCAAAGCTTGGCCCCGTCTCCCTTTCAGGAATGTAGGCCATAAACCAAGTAGCTTTAGCAGGCTGAATTAGATTTTCCCATCACCTTGTCCCCCTGACCCGGCTCTCTCCAGGAACGTCCTTTTCCCCTGAGTCCATCTCCATGTTGTTCTCGTCACTGTCCGTGTAGAGCACGGCGTCCGGCGGCATGTCGTGGAGAATCTCTGGGAGGAAGGGTGTGCTTGGGAGCAGGCTCTCCATGGTGTGGTGCGTCACCTCTGTGCATTGTTCCCCTCTTCCTTCGTTGCCCTGTCGAGGGGGGCATTCTGTCTTCCAAAGTTGCTGTTTGCAATCCTCACCGCCAAGGACCTGTTCCTGCCCATGTCTCAAGTTGAGCTGGCGACATTCGAGGTGGTTTTGCCCTTCTTTGCAGGTAGCTTCCCTTTTCCGCGGCCTTTAGAAGGACCCCAAAAAGCCCCTTTGCTTTGGCATTGTCCCGCAGCTTCTGTCTGGCCTCCTGGTAGGAGATGTAAACAGGAGGTAGGTCCGACTCCTGGATGGTATCCACGATCGAGTCTTCAAACTCAGTGATGTATATGGCATCGGCATCGTTTTGTTCCAGAAAGTAGCAGAGAAGGTCCTCATCGTCCGGCTTGTCGTCTTTAGCCGCAGCATAGTAAGCCTCATCCGAGCCCTCTTCTTCGGTGAAATGCACATCGTACACCTTGGTCCTTTCAGTCGTTCGACTGGTGCCCGCGTTGTTTTTGGACCGGAGCTCCCCAAAAAATTGGAGCCCAACAGGCGTCTGGCCTGGACCGTCTCGGCGTATCGAAGGTCCCTTTGAAACTGAATGACCTCTTTCTTCTTGTCCTCAGGTGCCAGTTGGGAATGACGTAGCAAGATGTAAGCCCTCACTTGTTCGATGGTCACGCTGCGAGCCAACAGTTCTTTGAAGTAGGCGTCATGCCTGGCCACGTGGAATTCGTTGTTCTCGTCGCTGCGCTGTGTGACCCGGAAGATGGCCTGCTCAAAAAAATGAGGTTTTTCCTCCATCAAGGTGCGACGCCACCATCCGCCCAACGTCTCAACCAACAGCTTCAGTCCATCTAGTTGCTTCAATTTTTCCGGAGCGATTCTGCTAACCTTCTGGAATGCGGATCCTTGCGTTTGGAGTGCCGTCCTCGGGCCTAGGAGGTGAATCTGATCATCCGGCCAGAGCTTCTTCAGAAACTTCGGGCGCTGAACGTATTCATTGACATAATTTGTTGTTACTTCGGAATTTGTTGCTAAGGCAAACGGCTCAAGCTTCCAGAGGCTGCCTGCGACGGAGCTTCCATGGACTCGGTCCCTACGCGCGGCATGAGCTCAAGGCAAGAAGACCTACTGATCCCAAAACCCCTTTGTGTGAATGTAGTAGGGCCCCTGGCCTCTGAAAGTTGGACAGCCACGTCCTCAATGAAGTCCCCCCAAAAGACTGTGAATGACCATGCGCAGGCCCCCTGCCTACAGTAGCCCCAAGGATCCCTCTTTCCAGCACAAGTGGCCCACACTTTCCTTCCGCAGTCACTGAAGCCGTCACACACACAGGAAGAATCTTCGAATGATCCTGTTGAATTAACAGATGATGATGATGGAGAAGAGCAAAATTTGGGGAAATTTTGTTGAAAGTTTCCATGCAGGGCAAACATTCGTAAGTTTTTTTTTTAATGGCATGCCACGCATTAGGCACATGGGGTGAGCTTAGCTACTGCTCCAAATGCCCCAGACAGAGATGCAGGTTCCAGATCGAGCGCTCACATCTATTCCGCAGTTGTTCCATCCTTGTGTCTGTTGTCCTTGGACGCACGTATGAACATAAGGTGAATCCCCACAAAAATACGTGTAATCCTGGATTTTTCCCATAAGCTGACAGTTGACATCAGGTGGTGAAGCCTCTGCATCTGAAAAGCCCCCGGCCGGAGAAGCAGACACCATTGGCTTGGTTGATTCAGCTGATTCAGCTCGCCTTGTTACAAAAAAATGTTTTTTGATATTTGGCAACATGGTTTTGGGAGTGTGCCAAGCCGAATCAATGTCGTGTTGTTCAACTAGTCAAAATAAAGTGTTCGTGAGTAACAGAACAGCTGCATAGGCGCAATGGCAAGACAATATCCACAAAAAATGAACAAAACATAGTGAGCCACAGGAGTCAAAAGCTGCTTTTGACTACACATGTGGTTGGGTGACTTTGCAGCACGGCGTCCACGAACAATCTTGGAGCTTCCAAATCAGATAGCCGAAGGCACGGCCGCGTCAGGCTCTGAACCCGCATTGTTCAACAAAATCCACCGTTGGTGCCCTGACGCTTTGCGGGACTTGCTGTCGTGGCGTCAGTGTTATTAGCACATTGCTGATTTTTGCACTTGCCAGTCTTACCACTTCGCAGTTCCGAAAACCAGAATCTTGCGTAGGTGTTTTGTTGTTTTGCAAATACCGTCCGCCCGGAGTGGTGTATGTACATAGCTTTGAATGGAAAGCTCTCAAGACATTGTTGGCATGGCAGCTTTCGACGAGGACAAGCTTCAGCTTCATTATTCATTATATACAGGGGGCGAAAGGTATGTTCTTGGGTTTGGAATCCCAACAGAAATGTGCCATTCCGTCATCTTGAACCAGACGGAAATTTGCACGACAGAAGTTGGCAGAGAGAAACGTTCCTGTTTGCCCTTTCCGGCTGCCAGTCGGCATGCGGCTGATGCGAATGAAAATTGAAGGGATGTTGCTTATGTTGACATTGGCTGCATGCAGGTTGACCTTGCATTACACCACGACGTGGTGTGAACATAACCGCAGGGCTTGACACTTCACTGGTGAAATGACACAATGCAGCCTTTGTGCCTTTATTTTGCACCAGTTTGGATCCGAGGCTGGAATGACTGGGAAGGGGGGTGGCTAAAAGCTGGGCACTGGCGAAGGCTAAGGCTTGAGAGGCATAATGATGTGAGCAATGTGGGAGGCGCTTCTCCGCTATTTGTAGCCTGGCCTCGCGCTAAAACAGAACAGATTCATTCTTCCTGGAGACATGATTGGAGGTGATCAGAAGATTCATGTAGCAGCTACTCAGCTTCCTGCGGAAGACTTCCACAATAGCAATGGAGGCAAATGCCCCCCGGGGGAGCCGTAACAGGCAAGTCTTGGAAGCCGCTGCGTGCTCTGTGATTCTACAGGCTTAGCCACCTCCATCGTTTAGCAACCTCCATCCGTAGTTTTCTTCCGCAAAGGCTAGTTCGGGTCAAAGCTCAGTTTTTCTAGGAGCTTGCAAGCCAAGCGCTAACAGCTCATGGTGTCTGTTTGGAAGGAAGCTGGTGACATACCTTTGCACTTGCTTGCTAGGAGGCTGGCAATCCCATCAGCGCTGTCAAAGCCATGCAGGACCTATCTTTGCCTGAAGCGGCTCCTTTCCAATGATGCACCCCTTTCCAATGATGCACCCCTTTCCAATGATTCACCCTGTGAGACTCACGGCGTGTGCTCTCCAGGGGACCATCTTTGCCCGCATTGACAAGCTGGAGCCTGGCGCTCAGCATGGCCTTGTGGACATAATGACAGCATAGCTAGGCCCAGCCAGGCCTGAGTCCCTTGCTCTAGCATTTGTGCAAACAGAGAAGGTCTGGAGAGCAGCGAACTCTTGGTTCTAGCGCAGGTTGAGGAGGGTGTGGGCAGCACAGCCAGGGAGGGGTGTTGAAATTGATATCTCAATACTGACTATGGGCTGTGCTCATCTGCTCATGCATTCGCTCATGGACTCATGGGTTGGTTGACACATCTGCACATCCTGCGCTCATGACATTTGCGTGGCCGTGGTACCAGTAACATCCTGCTTTGTGACTGCAGCAAAACTCGCTGCTCCTCTGTTGTTCATTGCCCTTGCATGGTCATAGCACGAAGAACATCACACCCGATGGTGGCATCAAGCCTCCCTGCGACTTCTGTAGTCTGTTCACTACCCTTTCTGGTCATGGTACCATGGTACGACGTTTTGGTTGTTTTGTTAAAGCCTCCCTATTCTCTATCTCTCTCGAGTTGACTATTCTTGCCTGATCAGAGTATCATCGTTCTTGGTGCTTGCACCAAACCTCCCTACCCCTGCAGTATTGTACAGTTCCGTACCCTGGCAAAGTCACGATGTTTTTCCTGCATTTGTCTGAACACCCAAAATGGGGGACCCTGGGCGTGTGTTTCCTGCGTCCTTTTGGTGTTTGCATTGTTTTTGAATGTTGCTTCTGTGCTTGCGGCAGTCTCTGAAAGGTTCCGAGCAAACAATAATTGCCCGACACAAGAAAACGCACAAATGTCGGGACTTTCCGATGAGTTGGGCACGGACTACACTTTTTTCTGTGTTTTTTTCTGGGTTTCCGCTGTTTGATGGACAGAAGCCGGAAACGAGAAACGAACAAAGAAGAACATCGGTATAAACCGGTGCTGTCCGACAAGCCGGACGCGGTTACCAGGAGTCCCCAATTGTTTGGTTTTGGTGTTTCAATTCCTTGAAGCTCAAACGGAAAGTAATTACACAAAAGCACATTTCTTTGAACACATGATTTTGCAAGATCACCGCTTCTTGAGCCGAGCCCAGTTCTTGAACAGGTCTTGCTTGCTTTTGGAAAGCCACATGGATGATTCCTGGGATCCCGCACATGCTCCAGAACGTTTCTTTTGCAATCAGATCTCAACTTGAGCCAGAACGATCTAGTCTCGCATGATTACCCATGGTTAAAGCAAGACAGTTACTTGTCCCTCACACAAGCTCCCCTGGTGAGAAGTAATTATCACTTCGCCCCTAGAAGTCAAACTATGAAAATCCTGGAAGACGACTGTTGACAGGTAGTGGGCTACCCTCTTTCAGAAGCAGCCAACTGACCACCCTAGCAGTGAATTAGGTTGTGTTCTGGTTATACTGTAAGTCGGGGAGAACCACAGTGGATGGGGGAAATTTTGCACCACTTAGGACTTAGGACGCCCAAGATGCTGGTTTATTGGCTATATTAGGTGGTGCAAGATTTCTTCCACACAGGAGGACTCAATGGAGGACTAGGATCGGCTTGAAATTCTTGTATTTGTGTTGTTATGTATTGTTTCAATCTGGCTTGTCTCAGAACAAAGGACATCTAATTGGAATTGCTGCGAGGCTTCGATCTATTGATACGAGTTATATCGGTTTTGCACGTCTTAATTTGGTTTTACCGTATGATGTTTGTCTTAAGGAACCTAACTTGAAATGTCAAGAGAAATCAAATGCAATCAAGGATTTCCTGCCTTGACAGAGCTTTTGCAAAGGAAATTTCAAACAAGAACGTACCTCAGCTGTAGTTGTGCTGAACCCGCGTATTAATTGGGATACGTACTTCCGAACTAACCCATTAGAAAACAGAATTCTGTGAGATATTGTAACATAGCAAAGGCAACTGGGCCTTGTTGGAGCCTTCACGATATTTGTGCCAGTGGAAGGATGCGTTTTATGATTGGAGTCATATGGAAAAAGTTTGAGCCCGGTATAGCTCAAGGTTCAGGGTTCATGCATGCAAGGTTATCTGGACAAGCACGGACCAGGTTTGGTGGTGGCGAGGAGGTGGTGGTGGCGGTTGCAGTGGCGGTGGCGGTTGCGGTGGCGGTGCCGGCGGCGGTGGCGGCGGTGGTACTGGTGCTTTTGTTGCGGTGACCACTGCGGATCCGAGGCGTGTCAAGCTGGATGACGATGTTCCGGAGGTGTGGCAAACATTGCTCCTTGAGTTCCTGCTTCGTGAGTGGAAGCATAGTTGCGTCAGAGGCGTCTAAGTATGTAAGTAGTCAGTAGCCAGCAGTGGCAGAAGTCGCAGATCCTGAGAGCTTTATGATCTTGAAGCCGGGGTGGCTCTACATGACACGAAAACCAAAAGTCAAGGTGCCTGAGATCACGCAAGTCGCAGAGCAAATGAGCGGCGCCATCCTGGACCTCAGGCAACGAGTTAGACATGCTTTCCATGGATTGAAGGTTCATCCAATTCGGAGCCTGGAGGAATCAGTTTAGGGTGCAGCTGACGGGCGTGATTGAGTGCACGGCTGTCCTCTTTGAGCACCTGGTGGAGCTGACGCAGGGCCTTGATGAGGTGCTCCCAACACAGCAAGAAGCCGAAAGACTTGTCACTTCTTGAACAGGTGCGGCAGAACAGCGATGGAGTGCTCCAGCTGGTCCGCAACAACAAGTTCCAGGAAGCTGGCCTCGGCTACTGAGCCGTTGTGTTTCACCACGTCTCACGAATTTGGTTTCACCCGACATTGTGCCGGCTTTGAGTGAAAAAACCGAGCTGGAGTAACGGAGGTCGCAGGCTAGCACAGCTAGCAGCTAGATGTTTTCTGAGCAGTTGAAGCCTTGGAGGAGCGCGCTGCCAACGCAGAAGTAGCATCCCAGCGAGTAGCTGGCCTGTTCCAGGCCGTCAAAATTGAAGTTATTGAAGTGTGTACCAGCTCGGCGCCACGAGCTCCTCGCCTTTGCAGGATTTGCGTCGTGACGTTACCGAGCTCTTCAGCGAGGAAACTGGTAGGCCTGGCCTCATTGAAATCAAAGGTTCCAGGCTTGTACCCCAAAGGTCATACATACCCTTAAAGGTTCCCCCAAAGGGACCCCAATATTACCCTCATGTAAGTTTCCTAGGGTTCACTAAACCAATTCCCTATACCCAGAGGTACAACCTTAAGATTACAACCCTGGAGCCTTTGATAAAAGAGGTAGAGTGTGACTGTTCTCGAAGTATTGGACCTTGAGGGTCTCGCCTCGAAGCCTGGGTGGGGAGGAGTAGCTCAATTTCACTTGACCCTGAACACGAAATCCCGTGTGAGGAGCTGCGCGGCCTGGTCGCAGAGCATCGAATGCCCGCCGCCCAGCCTCCATCACCTTCAGCATTCTTTAGCCACAATTTGATTCAGGTCTCAGCTGGAAGTGGCAGTCTGGTCTCTGCAGCTTGGCAACTAACAGACGACGTGCAATTTTTTCAGCGTGGATTGCAAACCCCCCCGCTGTTTTGCGCGGGTGCCTGCGCTGGTGCGTGGAGCGTCTTGCGAATTTGATTTGGAATTTGGAATCGACGACCCTCTCGCTGTTTTCTGCGGGTGGCAACGCTGGCGCGTGGAGCGTCTTTTGGGTGTTGATGGTCGTCTTGCGACTTGCGAGCACTGCCTGTGGAGCGTCCTCATAATTTCGTTTGGAGTCGACGAACTTCTCGCTGTTTTGGGCGGGTGGCGGCGCTGGGATGTGGAGCGTCCTACGAATTCTGTTCGGAATCGACGACCTTCTCGCTGTTTTGGGTGGGTGGCGGTGCTGGTGCGTGGAGCTTCCTGAGAATTCTGGTTGGAGTCGACGACCCTCGCTTTCTTAACCGGGCTGCGGCGCTGGCGGCTGGCGCGTGGAGCGTCCTGAGATTTCTGTTCGGAATCGATGACCCTCTCACTGTTTTGGGCGGACGGCGTTGCCGTGGCGCGTGGAGCGTCCGGAAAATTCTGCTCGCAATCGACGACCCTTTCGTTATTTTTTCTTGGGGTAGCAGTGCTGGCGCAAGGAGTGTCCTCCGAATTCTAGCACGGCGTCGTGCGCGCCAGAGAATCCACGCAGTGCTTCTATTTACTTCGTAACTTTGCGCCATTCGGTTTCAGGGCATTTGAGTCCGGCTCGAGGGGGATTTTGTTGGCTGTAGCTTTGTCGCCAGAACAGGAAAACTCAGCAGCAGGAGAACATTGTCAGGGCTTGGAGGTGTTTTTGACTTTGAGAACGCAGCAAGTACAATCTCGCCAAGCGCGGCATTACGCATGCACAATGCGGCCAATCTAGATGGCAAGCCAAAATCTCCCCGCAGAATGCTGCAGCAGGAGCTATCCCCGGCACGTGTGCCACGCAGGTGGCACCGCCAGTGATGGATACACAACACAAGACCAATGACTTTGTCACTGGCCCTGCCTATGCCGTCCTTGTGCCGGGAGCGCCCAGGCGCACAAGGGAATTGCACACTATTGGTTTGGAGGCGGAGACCGCAACTCCCAAAAGGTATGTACTTTGTGTGTGGATGTTGCAGCATGAATGTTGGCGGGTGTTGGAAAGTCTGAGCACAAAGACGCGGCAGCATGCATCGGTCATCCGTGAGGATGAAGGCTTCACAAGGGCTCATGGGAGAGTGCAGTCAAAACAGCAGCCCTTTCATTTTTCCCATAGCATTGACGGCGTGGACGACCACTAGCCGCAGTTCCCCTCACAGATGTTGAGACCCCGACTGAGCTCCCCATCGCACATCATCATGCACCAGAAAGCATAAATAGCAGAGCCGGTTTATGAGATGGCTTTGAGCAGCCTGTGCGAATCTTGATGGGGAGTCATCATCTGTGACGCGAAATCTGTAGCAAAGCTGATTTCCCCTGCCCGGTGCAGCCTCGGCCAGGAAGCTTCTGTAGTGGCCAGTGTTCATGTCCGGGCCAATGTGGGCTAGGCCCGCTGCAACCCTATACGGGATCCACTCCAACATGGTGCCTTCTCTGAAGCGTGTTGGTTTTCAGATATCGCATGCCAAGTTCTTGACCAGCACGGCTTCGCAGGGACTCACCTTGCGACAGGGCACTATCCTTGACTGTGCAAGGGGAAACAAGCATATGGATGATGATAACTGGTGGTTGCATTTTTGCGTGATGTTTTCGCGTGTGACCTGCTTCAAGGACCTGCTGTTGCTGCGAGCTCCTGAGAGGAAGTTCCTGGAGCGAGGACCGCCTGCTAGCGCACAGGCACGCCTGCGGAAATTTTCGGAGAGTGTCGCCGTCTGGCGAAGGGGTGCGCGAAATTTGCTGAAGGGCGCTTTGCGTGCCTGACCGGTTGGAGTGTAGCTGGTGGAACTCTTACATGTGTCGGTTAGACTCTCCGGTGTCAACTAGGATTCGTGCTGGTGGTGCCTGCTCGTTCGGGATGGAAAGTGATGTCATGCCGGTGATGCTTCGTTGCGTTTACACTGACGATGTGTGATGGAAAGCAGTGTTTTGATTAAATAGTAATTGGTAGTTTTTTCTTTGACTTCCGTTGCAATGAGCTCGGTGTCATTTGCGATCTGTGTCAGTGGTGCCTCGCGATCCGGCGTGGAAAGCGGTGCCACGCTGCCGATGCTCTGTTTTCCTATGTTTGTGGGCGCTGACGATTTCGGATGAAGAGCAGCGCCATGACCGAACCGGCTATCCCTGGTCAGCAGTTGATATTGCTGTTGTTGCCCCGCTCAAGTTGCAATCAGCCCGGCGCCACTTACGATTCGTGCCAGTGGCGCCTGGTGTTCCTTGATTAACTGTCGACGCCTTGTTTTCCTGGCGCTGGCGATCTGGGATGGAGATCGAGCTGTGTCATTACCCCCTGTCGAAGCATCTCCAACACACTTCCCACACCAGGATTCGGCTTTGTGGTATACAGGAGGAAAAGTCCACACGCGCAGCAACACATCCCTGCTTTACAACTCGAACAGAGACAACTGCCTTCCAAAACGCTGGCTAAAAGTGCTAACGAGGTGCGGTTCACATAGAAACCACTGTTCACACCATCAGCAAAGGCTTCCGTAACGCCAATGCGGATGGCCTTGTCCAGGTGGACTGCCATTGCCCCTCCCAAAGCATCTTCCGCGCCCACCGAAGACTCGTTCCGCTGCTTCTCGCCGCCCTCCAAAGCATGAGCGCTACGCCAGGCTGCGTGACGAGAAGGTGCAAGATCGCGGTGCGACAGCCATGACACGGCCGCAGAAGACGGAGTAGCACGAACATCATACGCCTTTCCTGTCCACTCTTACGAAGCCATGTAGCCAAGCTCTGGAGATGCTCCGCCCATCTGCGGCAAATGATCCCAACCCAACCATAGCTCGGGATCCAGAACTCGTCGCGTGTCCTGCGCGTCAAGATTCATCCGTGCAGCAACAAGGCCGCCGTAGTTGGTCTGCGTTTCGAAGGGTGTTAATTTAACTGTATAGGACGCAGCCGGCCTTGCGTGCCGTAGTCTGCCTCCTCCTCCGTACCAATGTGCAGCGTCGGCCGCAGCGGCTTACCCTTAATTTCTCCGAACACGACAGCCCTCGAGCAAAAAACACATGATAGAAACCATGCCTGCAAAACTTCCAACTGGTGCAAACATTATCAGAATACTTGTAACACGATTCGCTGCGCCTGTGTTGCAGCAATGTGGACGACAAGCGCTGCAGATCTTGGCAAAAAGCCTTTTGCCACCGTGCAGCGTCGGCCTCAGCAGCCTCCCTGTCCGGACACAAAACAGACCGAGACAGCGAACGATAACCCGGCGTCTGCGCAACGGGCAAGAGGTTGATGGGTGTGTGTGGTAGATGTTCAGTGGCCTCGCCCCCTTTTCCTCCAACAACATATTCGGTCTGCGCCAAGCCTCTTCCGAACATTCCTTCAGAAACGGAGTCTGCTTGGCGTCGAGCGCAGGCATCTCTTTCAAGAGCGACAGGTCGCAGCCGCCGTCGAACTTGCTCATGTCACGGGCCTCGGGCGCAATCTTCACGGGCGAACCAGGTTCATAAAGACCACCAGCCGCGAGCGCAGCTCATCCTTGCGATTTCGGAGCATGGTAGACAGCTCGCGCATCACTTGCAAATGTTGACAATCCACGTCCGTGAGCTTCTATCTCACCCCGAAATGCCAGAATAGGGCCAACCATCCCGGCGCCCGTGGAGGCTGCAGCCGCGCCGTCACTACACCGTTCCTGAACAGGAGGTCGAGGGGCCAAAGTATCCGGAACCCGGGCGAACATTCAGTACATGCAGTAAGAACAAACGAATCAAAAGCTCGAACTGAACAGTCTGGCCAACTGGATCATCCCGCGAGACGGCGAAGCGTGTCAGAATACCTGGGCAGAACCGATGCCATGTCCGCAGTCACCGCGCCCATGTCAACCTCTTGGCCCTGAAGCACCGACAGAAGAGGATGTTGTGTGTCAGCTGGATTCGGAGTCATGGAAATCAGAGTCTGACCAAAACTCTCCATGTAGGCGACACCTTCGTGACGACACAGCTCCCGATGGCCATCCGTACCCGCAACAGTCATGGACGCTTTGTGCGTTGCAGTAATAGCATCTCACGCCGCCCCAGGAACCGTGCTATCATTTAAAGTTAAAGATTCCAAGCCGGCATTCTCGGGCAGGATCCTGGCAGCAGCAGCCATATCTTCCGCGGTCAACTTTTCCAACTTCTTGGCGTATCCCATGCCCCCGTTCCTCGAGACATGATAACCAGCTGCTCGCTGATCCATCAAGCGAGAGACGGTGGCCATCATATGAAGTGCCGTGGACTGCAGAAGTGCAGCAGCCCACTCTGCGGTCGTCGACGCAGTCTCTCGCTCATAAAGATTGCCAGCATCTCTGTAGCGCCAAAGACGAGGTTTTGCCATGGTCCAGATTCTCCAACCCCACAGACTCAAAGCCTTCTTTCCGCGCGCCACATACAGATGCCGAATGGTGCGACCGCCGCCCCGGACCGACCTCAGCTCTTTGCAATCCAAAGCAGACTCCGGCTCCTTCCGGTTCAGCTTCAGCTCTTCGCATCCCGCGTCGAGCTGAGAGTTCACGTCAGCCTCCTGGTCTTCGAACGCCAACCTGCGAATCCTTACGCGGCCAGACAGACCGACCTGCCTATCACAGAATCCGCCAACTCTCGCCTCTCGCTCCAGCGCGCGACGTCGATCGTCAGCCGAAAGCTTCCTGCAAGACCCATGAATCTCCTGACATATCTGCAAGATCCGACGTCTCTACCACGCTCATCTAACAGTGTACACTTGCCGTCTATCATAGCCTCCATCTCCTTTGCCACAGACCGTTCACCTGCCTGCTTGAACTCCCGCAACTTCTCCATCATTTGAGCCGCGCAAGCAGACACTTCGTGTTGCTTGGCGTTCTGCGCATGCGGCTGCATAGCAAAGATACAAGCCTGATCAACGCCGCGGGCATCGTTTACATCAACCTTTGCGGCTTGCTGCCCCTCTGTGGCAGTTTCCGGACCCGTGCTCGCGATCCTGCCTGGACCCTCCTCTCCCACCACCGCCGGCAGCGCGCAGTCCAGAACAGGAGGCGGCGCGGGCGACTTCACCCCCTGCAGGCCGCAAACACAACCACAACAAAACAACCGACCCTTCATCTCAAGTTACATACCAAAACATAAACCTCACAATTCTAACTTCAGACTAGACTCTTTGTCGGTTCACTTAGCCAACACCTCTTCGTCGATCTGCCTCACGCCCATCTCGTACACAGGATTAGTTCGCCTCAGCTTATCCGCCTGAGCAAGGAATTGTTCGCGATGCAACTGCAAGGACGCCGCTTGACTGACCACAGCGCGACAGGACTCCACAGAAGCTTCGCCCGGCAAGTTGACGCAGAAAGACGCAGCCAGTGCATCGTTCAGCTGCTGCGGCGGCAGTTTCTCGACCGCGTGCCGCGCATCGCCGTTGTGAAAGACAACCGAAGACCCAATATATCCAGACTGATAAAACGTAGGGCTGCTGCTCCGAGGCTCCCCAGCGCGAAGCGCCACCTTGGTTGCCACCATCTTCGCCAGACCCAAACGCAACTCATGTGTAAGATTTGCCTGCCAAAGCAACGGATCGGGGCGATCCAGCCACATATCATTTGCTAAGGCATACTTGCGCGACCGAGGACTCTGTGTCGAAAAGGCGTCGAGGCAATCCACGCACCCCAACAACTTGGCAGCTGCCATTGCTCTCTCATGCGCTTCAATCGACCTCTTTGACCGACCGCTCAGCGCATCATCAACAGTTTGTCGATCCAGCCACTCCATCGTTGCGTGACGCATCTTCGCGGCTGTGCTAGTAGCAGTAGTAGCATCGTTTTTCTGCTTCATCTCCGACAGCAAAGCCCCAGCAGTTCTAACCGACTGACTTTTTGCAACTTTCAAGCGCTTCAAATCGATTTGCGGCAGCAAGGGAGGTTCTCACGGGATCTTGCGTAGTTCCAAGACCCAGTCTCAGAGGAGCACGCCGTCCATCAGCATGCTGCTGCACACCCAAGCCAGCGCGCCTTACCATCACGGATCAACCGCCAACGATGTTTCGAGCCCTAACCCTGCTAACAGCAAATACGAAAGACAAACACAACACATGAACCCCGCAGCGACATGAACTGCTCGCGCTCTACTCGACGCGCCTCGCAGAAGGCGCCCAAGCAGAGGAAATAGACCTTACCCCAGACGTGACGCAACAGTTTTGCTCAACTACCTCATGTGTACAGGCACTATCCGGACGGGGGACCCTGTCCCATTATCACAAGAAGTCAAGTACCTAGGGGTGTTCCTCGATTCTTCGGGCTCGTCCCGCAAGAATGTGTCTTTCAGCTGTCACATAGTTCCCTTCCTCCATCATGGAAACTTACGGTCTACAGACCCATTGTTCAATCTATCCTTATGTACGCTATGGATACTGCATGTCTCTCATTTCTCTCCCCTTCTCAGCTTACCAGACTCAACGCAGTTCATTTCAAGTCACTTCGTCGTATTTTCAAGATCAAATCCTCATACTATCATCGAGTCCTAAATCCTTCGGACGTAGACTGTTCTAATGAGTACCTGGCAGGTCTTGCCTTTCCTCCCGTAGAATTATATCTCCTTCTCAAATCTACTCGCGACAGGTTCCGTCTTTTAGGTCACCTCCTTAGACATACGGATTCATTAGAGTATAACGCGGCTTTTATGCCGTCGGGCGCCTACCGCTTCATTCAAGGCCCGAATAGGGTAGGGAGGCCACGCCTCCATTGGACTGAGTCTTGTGTGACAGAGGCCTCCAACCGCATTGACTATCTGGTCTCTGACTCTGCTCCCCATCATTCACACATACGTAATGATTACTTCCGGATTCCCAGTTCTCATGAAGTGTCATTGATGGCCGCAGCGGTGCGT